TAGCCTTTAATGATAATAAACAAATGTTGTTTACGACCACAGCAACATTCGGAAATTCACTCGCTCGATGACGTGGCCTATGTCGGTAATTTTATCACTGCAATAACTTACTTATGTCTTCAAACAAAATCTTACGTGAAGCCACGAAGATCCATGCATTGAACCGCTGATCAACGAACACTGCAGGTTCGTGTTGAGTACACGAGTTGCTCCGCGGCCCATTGATTCAATTAAAGCGCTGCACAGCTATATATTAACATGAAACTTTTTTTAATTATGCCAGAAATAATTGTTATAAAAAGCTTGCGCACCCCGAATTGTTAATAGACTGGGTACAGGACGAGGAGGCCCAATAGCGCCTTTTTTTTCCTTCGCGTGAGCAAGGATTAACGTTCGCTGGACTCCAAGAGAAAGAGCCGACCACAAGCAGTATACTATGTTCAAGGCCCACATTTTCCAAATGTCGCAGGGTCAACTCACTGTCAAAAGAGCAGAAATGACAAGACGGGCCTCTGTGACCAGGTGGAGGATTTTATTGAATCTCATTACCTGTGTGACGGATTGTGCATTCGATATTGTAGGGAAAAATTAGATGTTTGGCTCGTTACCAACGCAAGGAGAGATTGCGTGACGAGCAAAAGTGTCTTGCAGACTCGCTGGAATTTTAAGATTTAGGTATCCTAACAAGCATTGTCAGTTTAAGCAGGATTTCTTCACTGCTGTGCGAGATCCTTTTCTTCTCTAGCTTTACGCAGCACTTCAACGGCTCCTTTGGCGATCAAAGCTCGCGCTAACTGCTCTCCTAATTTCTCAGCTGCGACAAGAGAGTCACGCAATCCATCTGGGACATAAATGCTGGACTGGGTTAGCACGGCATGAGGGCAGCTACCACCTTGGACAACGGGCTCCGGAAGGGTTCCAGATACAGTGGCCTTGAGGCACTCTTTTCCGTCCAAGCTAAACACAGCACCTGTAATGGTTAACTAAAAAAGAAAAAAGAAAGCTCACCCCAGTCCTCGTCTCTAGCAACTCATCTCCAAAAAAGGAGGCTGACGAACAGAGCTTACGTTAATTCCGGGAAGGAGAAGCAAAGAACTGGGAAGGGGCCTGGGGAGACAACTTTCGTCCCCAGTCCTGTCTCTTGTTTTCCCGACTTGCTTCTAAATGGATATTTCCAAGGGAATATTACCGGTAATTATAATATTTCGTCAGCCAAGTAAAATGAACTGTCTGTGTAGACTAGCATCCCATTCAACGATAGGTAGGAGAGCAAAACACTTTGTCTACCGCATTAAATTGAGACCAGGCCCTGCGCTTCATTAAAAAGTAAACTTTAACTTAATAACTGCATGACACACCTGATTGCCATCCAGGCTAGACGTTACTCCAATGGGAACGCTACATCCTCCTTCCTATGTAAAAAAGTGTACCATGTATTAATAATCTATGCAAGTTGTTCGTTAGACTGTTCATAGCCCTCTATTTTCCCGTATTTTTATTCGATCACTGAATGTACAGATGGAATCGCGTGAGAACTGGATGCGTACCAGCGCAAAACAGAAGACTTGACGGGGTAGGGTGGGGACCCATTCTTTGGCTCGCTTCGCTCGACTCCACGTCCCTTCTCGCTCGCTGTTTCTTTCGTGTGCGTTGAAGAAGTGAGAGGCTGTAAACAGCCTAGTTGCTCGTCCCCTGGTAACAAGATCACTTATGCAGTTTTGTTCCACGAAGTCAGTGAATAAACTCTAACCCACTTGGATCAGGTTGGCTTGGCAATATATCAAACAGCAGAGTCCAAAGAGATTGCAGAAATTAGTTTTAAAACCTAATGAAAGCGGTACGTTACGTTACGTTACCTTACGTTACG